TGTACCGTTATTAGAAAAAGACGAAAAAAACGAACATGAGACAGGTAGAACAGGAGAGAGCACCAGAGGGTGGGAGGAAAACCTTTGCTAGCTATCAAGCTACACGGGAATCATGCATCTGCTGATGTAAATGACTATAGTACATAAACAATAGGATGCGGGTGGTGTCATATAAAACACGTGGCCTACGTGTGGGGCACAGTGCTGGTGATAAAGCGAGGCGGCTGGTTGTTGATAAACTGTTGGAGGAATGTGATATTCTGTGCTTACAAGAGACATGGTTACCTAAGCAAGATCTGGAAAGGCTGAATACATTACATGCTAATTTTCATGGAGTTGGAGAGTCAAATACTGATCTCTGTGATAAAATTGCCCATGGCAGGATACCTGGTGGTGTGGCGATTCTCTGGAACAGTAAATATGATCCTTTGGTTACAGTGGTAAGATTGGACGTCGACTGGGCCATTGGTATATACAGGGTTTCCCACACATAGACTATACTTGGGCGGGCCGCCCGCCCAGGTATATTAACGGCCGCCCAAGTATATTTCGCGACCCATTTAGGTTTTTTTTTTTTCTTTTTCTATTTAAAAAAAATAAATATATATTTTGTATTTGTCCACGCCATCTGCGATCGATTAACTTGTAGACAATGATACCTCGCTCCCTTGCTCTGATCTCGCCTCCTTCTGGCCTGTTAAGTGGCCTGCCTCACACAGGGTGACTGGCTGTCCACATGATGTGGCCTGCCGACATGGCCACTGTCATACAGATCATAAATCAAAGCCCTTGATTGGTCTCTGTGTGTCATTCAAGCTCGGGATAACCTCAGCTCAGGTGAGGTAAAGCACTCTCTGAGTGTTTAGATAGTTAACTTAGTCTAAGTTCTCAGTGGGTCTCAAATGGTGTGGTCACCATTTATGTAAACACATATTTCCATTTGAGAGGGTAGTGATTGGTCTAATGATAGTGAGGTGGGCTGAAGATCGGAAGGCTGTGAGTTCAAATCCCGCCAGGAACACCACCACTAGTGTGCCCTTGAGTAAGGCACTTAGCCCTTAGTTACTCCAGGGAGAATGTCCTGTAATCGGTCATTATAAGTCGCTTTGGATAAAAGCGTCAGCTAAATGAAATGTAATGTGATTAGTAAAATATGCATGAATAAATAAATAAAAAGTTAACTAGGTGAAAAAAGGTAAGATACACTTTTAAAACTTGTTGAGAGAAAACTAGTCTTTGCTGCTGCCTCAAAGAGGAGCAGGGGGAGAGGATGGAGAGGGGGGAGAGGAGGGAGACAGGAGAGGCTGATTCAGGAGCTCAGACACACTCACAACTATAAATGAACCAAAAATAAATTAACAAGTTTCAGTGTTTTTTTCATATTGGAAAAGGTATGTTATTGGTTATGGCCTTGATTTTATGATTATTGAAATGTATACAGTTCTGTTTAATATAGGTGTTTCCATAGATCTAGTCTCTTTATTTTCCCCTCAAAATGCACCAGATTGATGCATTTAACTCCAAAATAAAAAATAAAATCTTACCGGGGGGGCATGCCCCTGGACCCCCCTAGAGGATTTGAGGTCCACCCCCACTAAAAATCACATGGATAGGTTCCTAAATACATTAATAAATACATAATTTTTTTAAAATAGTAACCCATTTCCATATGTTCATGTGCGGGGTAGTTAGATTTTAAACTATAGGGCTATCATTATGGGCCCTGCCTGTACCTGTTCGCTCTGCCATCGCGTGAAGGGTCTGCTAACAAGCGACCAACAGAAAGGTTAATGTTAATGTTGTTGCACGTCACCTCAACCCCCCCCCCCCCCCCCCCCGCTACCACCACCCCCCCAAGGTATATTTCAGATTCTGTGGGAAACACTGGCAGTTAATGGACCAGCACCAGAGGCGTTCCCATACACACAGGCGTTGGAGAATGAAAAGTCAATAAATAAGCATGTTGTTAAAACCTTTGTTTTTTTCACGCACCCCCCCCCCCCCCCCCCCCCCCCCCCCGCCCGCTGCCACCACCCGCCCAAGTATATTTCATATCTGTGAGAAACACTGATAGAGATCAAGTAGTGAGTAGTGGGGGACTTGAATGCTGACATTTCAGATGATAAATCTCTGTTTGGCAAATGTTTACTGCATTTTTGTAATGATAATAATCTCATACTGTCAAGTAAATCTCTTCTACCTGAGAAAAGCTTTACATATATTAGTGAAGCATGGCATACTATGTCATGGCTAGATCACTGTATATGCACAGCTGATGCACATGCTTCTCTGGACAACATTGACATTTGTTATGAGTTGGCCACCACAGATCACATTCCTTTTGTATTGACCCTAAATGTTGAAAATATTCCGGTGCTATCTGTTGATGACAATAAAACATACACAGGGAGGCTGGATTGGTCAAAGTTAAGTGAGAAGGATATTAATCACTATACCTCACTCACTGACAAATCATTAGACTTGGTTGTAATTCCTAGAGAAGCAATGCTGTGCAGTGACACCAACTGTAAAAATGCGCAGCATGGTAGTGATCTATGTTTTACATATGATCTTATTATTGATGTGTTAAATGCCTCAAGTAAGGGTTTTTACAACAGTAAGAAAAAGGAGCATAGTATAAAACCTGGATGGAATGAACATGTGTCTGAGCTACACACTGCTGCTAGAGATGCTTTTAAATTGTGGGCCGAATCAGGAAGGCCGAGACAGGGGTCTTTGTTTATACAGGCCACGAATGCCAAGTATAAGTATGCTGTCCGGTTCATTAAAAAAAATGAGGACACAATGAGGGCTGACTCACTTGCCAGAAAGCTGCGCAACAATAGTTGCTATGATTTCTGGAAAGAGGTCAAAGTCATAAACAGCTGTAAGACTCCCTTACCGTCTTCCATTGAAGGAGTGTGTGGGTCAGGCAGCATCGCTGAACTGTGGCGACAACACTATTATGAGTTGTTCAACGGTGTTAAGAGTGATGCATTTGTGGTTGAAAAGGTTGACTCCACTGAAAATGTTACAGTTAGATCAGAGGAAGTCTACAACACTATAATGAATCTAGAAAATAACAAAGCTTGTGGCCCGGATCTCATCTCAGCTGAACACTTACAACATGCCAGTCTTAAGCTTGCTCCTCTTCTTGCTCTGTGTCTTACTGGTTTCCTTAATCATGGTGTCTTACCAGATTCCATGTTATCTGTGCTACTTGTGCCAGTCATCAAGGATAAAGCTGGGAAGATTAATGGCATTGATAATTACAGACCCATTGCTTTAGCTAGCATTCTCTCCAAAGTGTTGGAGAAAATTCTGTTGGATAGGCTGGAAAGGTATATTACCACAGCTGACAACCAGTTCGGTTTTAAAAGAAAACATGGCACAGATATGTGTATTTTTGCTTTAAAAGACATTATAGCAAAATATAGAAGCCATAATTCCACCATGTTTCTGTGTTTTATTGATGCTTCCAGGGCATTTGATAGACTGAATCATTACAAATTATTTGACAAAATGTGCCAAAGAGTGGTACCCAAGTACATAATAAGGATCTTAGCCTTTTGGTATGCACATCAGACTATGCAGGTGAAGTGGGGCAATTTCTGAACATTTTTATGTTGGTAATGGGGTCAAGCAAGGTGGGATTTGATCTCCTTTGTTGTTTAATCTGTACATGGACGATCTGTCGAGGAAACTGAACTTGTGTAAAACTGGCTGTGTCATCGGAGCTACTGTTGTCAACCACCTTATGTACGCAGATGATTTAATCATCTTCTCCCCATGCAGTGCTGGCTTACAACAGCTTCTGAGGACTTGTTCCCAGTATGGCATTGATTTTAATATTAAGTATAACGCCAAGAAGGGTAGCATCATGATTGTGCGAAGTAAAGAGGATAAAAAGGCTGTATTTCCTAATTTGATTCTCAGTAGCAACATTCTACTTGTGTGCAGTGAGATGAAGTACCTTGGTCATTATATCTCTGATGATCTCACAGATGACAAAGACATCCATAGACAACGCTGCAAACTGTATGCCCAGGCAAACATATTAATGCGGAAGTTTCACAAGTGCTCTATGGATGTCAAGGTATCACTTTTTAAAGCTTTCTGTACACCATTGTACACGGCTCACCTGTGGAGTAACTACAAGGCTCACCTGTGGAGTAACTACACGGCTCAGCTGTGGAGTAACTACAAGGCTCACCTGTGGAGTAACTACACGGCTAGAAGCATGCACAAACTAAAAGTTGCATACATTGATGCTTTACGGTTGCTGCTGAGGGTACCAAGATGGCACAGTGCCAGCCAGCTGTTTGTTAACTTGGGGGTACCTACTTGTCAAGCCCTTAAAGAAAGTTAATGTACAAATTCATGTGTCGCCTAGAAGACTCGGACAATCATGTTATCTCGATTTTAATTAACCCTGTGAAGAGTTCTACTCGGTTCTCTTCCATGATTTGGAGACATTGGCGCAACAGCCTAGACAGTGAGCATTTGTGGCTCGCTGTGATTGGACTGATTTTATGTTTTTATTTGTTTGTTTTTATCTGTTTTGTGTTTAGCTTTTTATCTTATTTATTGATGTGTGTTTTGTCTTTTTTATGTGATATGGACCTTGAGTCTGGAATAAAGATTGGATATATACAGAGATGCTACGTTAGCTACCATTAGCAAAACCAAAAAGAGAGTTAACAACTGTGGATTTATCCAGAGCCGCTAAGAGAAGGAGATTTATGAGTGCTTGAACTTTAGAAATGTGTGATTGGATGTACAAGGTGAAGTTCCTGCCATGACCAAGGGCAATGTCAACTTTAGTTAGGCTAATATACTGTAAGCTATAAACAGCACAAACATGCAGCAGCACAGACAAACAGGAGACCTGGAAGTGACACACTTACCGTACCGCCTCCGAGTACATCCAATATCATATAAACCCAATCTTGTTCACATATCAGGTGTTTCATGGTATAACATGACTGTTTGGTGCTTACCTTCTCCTGGTATTGCCTGCGCGATGAGTCCAGTGATTGAATCAGAGCTGTGGCGTGGCCCACAAACATGGCGTAGCACGTGGCTCCTACGATCATACTCAGCATGGTGATCCACAGGTCGGACATGCTGACCGGGGCCCGGGCGCCATACCCGATGCACAGCATGTGGCTCATGGCTTTGAAGAGGGCATAAGAGTACTGCTTACCCCAGGAAACGTTCTGCAAGGTCGAAGAAAGAGACAGAGGCAAAAAGGGGGGAGAAAGGGAGAGACAGAGAGGGGGGTGGGGGAGTTACTGCAAGGCAAGGCAGGGGAGGAAGGCTCTCCAGCAGGAAGAATGGATCGACTTTCCTTTGATGTATCACTGAATCTCTATCAAACACTGTGCCATACACACTCTTCATGCCTCACAGCTAATGCCCTCGCTGGGTGGCTGAACTTTCTACCTGTCTTTTTTCTTCCTCTCTTCTTTCAATACCCTCTTTGCCTGGACCTGGCTTTATTTGTTTCCCATTTGCCAAAGGGAGCGAAACAGCTCATGTTTGCAAGTACTCCAAAATAACTTGCATTATTTACACATGTCGGAGAAATTGTTTCCCTTAAAGCTCTGGGCAACCACCACAGCGAGGGACTCCGAAAAATATCGTTGTTCCCCCTCTTTCGCTCTCAGGTTTGATATTTATAAGTGTTGTAAGGAGGATTCAGTTCATTGGAGGCAGGGGAACAGAAATAATAAGGTACAGTACCACACACACATGAAGCAGACAGTCATGTAACAACTGTCTTCCTAGAGGAAAATGCATAGTAGTGAGTCACTAATACTCTTTACTACAAACGAAGGGAATTGCTGGGTGAGGGTGATTCCTCTTAACGTTCACCGCATGTGTTCCCCGCTCAAAGTGAGAACGTCGTCTTGTGCGGCTTTGACGAGTAGTCTTCATCTCCAGTCGGTTCATGAGGCCTCTATCCAATAATGTGTCCAGCTGTGTTTATCAGAAGCCAATTCTTCGTGGACTTGTCTCATTACTCAGAGTAAGATGTTTGAAAAGAACCTGATCGGTCGCTACCGACTGGGAAACACGCCGAGACGCAGCCGGATAAAAGTGCTATTCTGCCGCTCGAGATCAGCTTCTATGACTCCACTTATCGCTCATTAGTTTTTGACGAAATGCTAGACGGAGAGTGAAGTATTTATTATGAGGGATGGACATGTACTAAGTGAGCGTACCTGGTCTTTGTGTAAGTATGTGAGAATTGAAAAGAGGACTTTTGCTTCTTTACTATGCAATGAAAATATAATGAACCCTGATTTCCAACTGAGGTGCTTTGTATGTACTTCAAATAGTACATAAATAATTCATTGCTTTTTGTTTTCCAGACTTTTTCTTAGTCTTAGCCTCAGGAAAAGTATTGTCTCGGAGTCAGAGCAGGATTTAGACTCCTCATTAATACAGTACACGTCAAACGTATGCCTTTTTCTTTTCCCGGAGACATCGTTAGCAACCAAAACAGGCCTATCGAGGTTACATTTGTAATCCCTGTGACTTCCTATCTGGAGACAAATGTGACACCTCTCTCAGACAAGATGCTGACTCCTCCAATAACCTCACCTCCTGTGAACAAAATGATGCTGAGGAGGCGCTCCGTACAGAAGTCATATCTCACCCAAAACAGTGAAAGAAATATGAAACCTCGAGAAAAAAGGAACTAATCCCCGTCTTTTTTCGCTGGCTGACATAGTTCCACATGCCACACTGTAATATAGCACACGCTGGTGCCTCCTTTTGTCACGGCATTTCTGCTCGACTCCACGCTGTTCATCAACTGGGATGAATGAGAACATTTACAGCTAATCATCTGGCCTGGATGACTCACCAATTCTCATCTCTATGCTGATTAGTTTATTCTTCCAAAGACTGATTACAAAATATGTGATAATTACACTTGCCAGCTTTAATAACAAACAGTCCGGTTGGCAATTTTATTAACACTGTAGGGTTCAAACTACTATCTCTATAAAAATATCCACAGTTTTTTTTTTCACAATATAAACCGAAAGGAGGAGTATTGTAGCGAGTGTTGTGTTTTACTGGCACACAACACACTGAACAATCTATTTACACACAAAGGACAAACCCACCCAACCTTGTAAGGGGCACAAATGCCATGTGTGCGGCCATGAGCCTTAGGTGTCTTTCATGTGTACATTTAGCATGTGGTTGAGATGGTGGGCAACACAGCAGGATGTCTGTGTTGGCATATGGAAAAGCAGAGAATTATAGTTTTTCCCAGATGAAAACGGATAAGCCCAGGTGACTCACTTCACGTTTGACCTATGTGTCCTTCTATGTGTTGGGTGATTGTCAACCCGGCATGAGCGTGTCATATAATCCCATCGTAGTATAGTGTATATAGGGCTTGGGAATTGAGGTTACATCTTGTTGCTCTGTGTGTCACATTTCTGGTGTTTGCTTATATAGAGCATAAGATGAAAGCGCTATTGTGGGACACATTACAGCACATCTTTTTTTTAAGGAAATCTAAAAGGAGCAGGTGAAATCTCCCAGTGAAATGTCAACCATGTTTTCCATCTGCCACAGTTACTTGCCTGCTTGTTTAAAGAATGGATATATATGTGAATTGATAAGGAGTCACTACCTATTATGAATTAGTTGTGAGCAATTGATAACAGGGAGGTGTTGGTGTCAGTAGTTCATAGTGTTGTGAAAGATGAAGTGTCTGGATGAAATTTGATTAGACAAGATCTGCTAAGTGATGTCTGAAAATAAACACGTTTTGATATCTTAACAGACCAAACCGTATGATACTGTCAGCAGTTCTGAAATGAACTGCTTGAGGTCAAATGTATCAATACATTTAGTGGTGCGATACATTAAAAGCAATTGTAAAAGTTACATCTACAAAGTGTAGCTCTTGCTATTTGAAAATGGCAATCTTTTCAAATTCAACACAAAAATAACATTTAATACCACAATTATATTAGCTTATATTTCAACAGGTGAGACATTGATGCTGTGTCAATTTAGAAATAAACGGATACAAATTGTTGGTTGATATTGTAGTTTCCTAAAAAACATGGTTATTAGTTTTTACGAGGTTATTGATTCAGAAGGTATTCATTCAAAATGGAGCATGAGGAATATGTTGTCAAAATGATAGTAAGGCAGCATTGTTAACACAGGAGACATTGTAAAGGGTTTGTATAAGACTAGAAATTGTATCAAATGGTTGCTGAATCAAAGCCAATTGAACTCAAAATAAATCCTGTCTGTGATTCAATATATCGAGGAAGCAGGTGTTACATGTCCTAACATTTCCCAAGCAGGTTTTGTTATCAGACAGAGAGAGAGAACCAAAGAGATCTTTAGTGACGAAGAATGATGCAGCAATGACGTCCGCATTATTACTAGTTTGAATCCTTGAGTTTGTATTTTTCCTTCAATTACAGAAAGTGACTAAGAGCAGGGGCCTATACTACGAAGCTGGTTCAACCTAACCTGGATATGTTTGAATTAGCCGGTTGGCCTAATCCAAAAACATACGCGCTCTCACTAAACTGTACTACGACGCTGGTTATCAAGTGGATCGCTCAAGCCAGCCGTGTCCTATCTAGTTAGGTGCGCGTTCACATGAAAGGGGTGGTATTTGGAGCATTCGACCAATCACAAACATGGAGAAGCGCACTGACAGCGCAGCGTCATACTTCCTGAATGAAAAGTCAACTATAATACTAGTCAAAAATGAAGAAGTTAAACTTTAAACATCCATGACTTAAACACTTGATCCAGAATCAAAGCCACAGAGCTGCACCTGCAAGGTGAATACAGCTGGCAAAAGAAAACGTGTTTGAATGCGTACATTAACAGGTTTATGATATCACTGCCCCGTCTAAAACACGATCTGACTTTAATTACATTTGTCTCGAGTGTTTCGTCAACTTAATGTGTTGCTTAAAATAATACTTCTGCATACAGTATGTGACACTGTGAGTGTTGCACGGCCAGATAGGGCTCAGCTGACTCAGATAAGGAGATATATGATACATTATGAAGTGATATGCCGCGGACTGTACTTAATGTTACTCTGATCCGGTTACTTATGTTGTGGCAGATATTTAAGTAAGCTTTCTTAACGCTAATGTTATAATAGTCAGATTGCTCTGAAGATGGGAGGTGATATTCTATTAATGTTCACGTTCACATAGTCGGTGATTTTTGCCGGCCGTCTTTCCTGCAACGGCAGTTTTTCTGTATTTCCTTTCTCCTGTAATATGACTTGATCGCTTTAAACTCCGCACACTGAGCTCTGATTGTTCAGCAGGCAGTGCTTTCACTGAGTTGAGCTCTTAGCCTGCAACCTAACCTGCTCCGTACCAGGTTAGCCGCTAAGCATAAGTTACCATGGAGATCTAGCCTGCTAAAAAGAGAACCAGCTTCGTAGGACCGGAAAGCCGGAGTTTTCCCTGAATTTAGCCGGCTAAGCGAAAATCCTGCTTCGTAGTATACCCCCCAGGTCTGGTGCACTGCATCATGATTTTAGCAGCAGAGTACAGTACTTTATTTCTTTCATTGGTTTATGGAGTTCTTCAACAGACTGACATAAACATGTCATTTCTCACAGTATGTTTAACGTGTGAAGAACTCTCCCAGATACTGTACACACATTGTCTAACTGTTATTTCTTGCTGGCCTCTGTTCTTTGAGAAGAGTGAGTCTTTGCAGTATTAACACCAGCAAATGCAGCTTCTACTTTTTTCCTATTCTCTACAATCCCCAGGAGTTAAATAAATGTGGCTAACAGAAGATGTATTCAGTTTATCAGAGTTTCTAAATATAATTAGACTCTGGACGTAGCAAAACGAGTGACATCAAATACTGCATATTCATCTCATGTTTAGAAGTACACCCTTAGAGTGAGTTCAGACTTTATTATCACATGCATTTTTTTAAACTGATCATAAGTATTATAAACATCTCAATAGTTAGACCGTGTTTGACTGTGCTTGTTGGGTTTTACAACTTGGGAGCATTTCGTCACAACATGGTGGCTCCAACAGTCCCGTCAAAAAGGATGTGACCAGTTATGTGACGGGGAAGGCAATCAATGCTTCATCATCGTCCCAGTGTTGCGTCACCCACAGCAGTGATTGTTATTGATACAACAAGTAACTATGAGCCCAACAGGAAGTAAAGCGGCTAA